TGCTGAAACATTTCATTTGATTGTCACTCCCCTTGCAGAATGATGATAGGCAGACACTGCACAGGGTCAGTTTCCACTACCAGGAGGGTTGGAGTACCTCTCTCAGAAGGCACTTCCTTGCATAAACCTACATTTTTAAACAACAACTTTGCTACACTCTGCTTGAAATTTTGAATGTCCTGTGCGTTAGTTGTGCTGTTTCCAACCTAAGAGACGATGAGTCTACCACATTGTCAAGCCAAGGTGGGAGGCTGTTTTAACCAATTTGATGTATTTAGCTAGAGTGAATCTTGCTCAATACTGTATTAAATCTTTTTAAATAAGAAGAAGTTCAGAGACACAGTAGTCCAAAGGGAGTGCATACGGTGCAATGCTGTAGTCATACCGACCTGGGAGAGTGTTAGGCACACTGTTGGAGCAAGCGAGCCCGCCATGCCTGCAGCTGTTTGCCTCAGGTCTCTGCCCTTAGGAAGTCTGAGAAAACCTACAAATGAGGGCAGAGTCCCAGGCAGCCAGAATTATCCTATGGGAACACAACAGAAAGGAGTTTTTTTCGTCCTGATGAGCTGTTGCATAGCATGCATGTGGTGAAGGTGGGGGAGTGAGCTCCTCTAATATTTCCAGGAATGTAAGCTGAAAATAGATTCTAGAAGACCTACTCTTTTATTTCCAGTTTCCTTCCATTCTCAAAGTTATTTTTATACTTTCCATCTTTTTTTCTGTAGGACTCTTTCTTTACAATTGTGAAGCTGTAGCAGAACTTCACAGGATGCTCCAGTTGTTTAGTTTCAAAGCAAGTTAAATAGCAAAATGAAAGGAGGAAAGCAACAAAGCACTGTGAAGTCATTCAATCCAAGTTATAAAATGGTCAGCAATGATGAGAATGACAGTTATCTGAGACATCCAGTTACATGGAAAAATAGACATGTTCCTTTACACATGCATAGATTCATTCTGTAACAGTAAAACAAAGAATATTCAGACATTGTGCTGCACTATCTGTTATCCTCATGTAACACATTAAAAATGTCCCAAGAGAAATTTTCTATTAAGTTGCATAGGTCAGAAACAAACACATTAGATTGTGAAATTTGCCAGCTGTGTTGAGGATTTTCTAATTCCCTTTAAAAATAAAAAAGTGATGCTTTGGAGCAACTGTTAAGTCATCTTAATTATTTTTGTTTTTCTGAATCTATTTCAGCTACTTCCATGTATCAGTGGACGTTATGGTTGTATATTTATTTTTGTAATCATGTGAAAATTGTACTGTCTCTCAAATTTGTGTCTCCCTATTGTTAGGCGAAACCATATAAAAGCTCTTATAACCCATCTCATTTAAGTGACACAAATTCACTGCACCCACACATAACAGTAATGCAATCAAGACACAATTTTCCTGTTAAGGAAAATTTGTGGGTTTTTTTAAATCAATTTCATATCAGAAGTATCTCCACTCGTAAACACACCAGCAGTAAGAGCAACAAAAACAAGTTTGGAACTAATATTTGGTGTGAGACCAACGCAAAGATGTCTGATGCTCCCCAGGCTGGAACAATCTCTTCAGCGCCAGTGTCTTTAGCCCCTACTCACAGTGAGAGTTAGTTTGCTGTTAACTGTCACTTTATGCTTGCAAATAGCACTGATGATTTCAAAGCACTGGGTGAATTCTCATGTTTAGATGTACGAAAACAATTCTATCGCCTTTTAGTTAATCAAAATTCAATCTTGCTTTTGCAGTCATGCTAAGGTTATTGTTGTTCGGTATGCATCAATAAATAAACTTTCAATTATCTTGGTAAGCATATCCAAAAATAGCATGAGAATCAAAAGGCAATGGAGTATCCAGTAACTGTTCCAAATAAATAATTTTGATAGATAGGATCTTTGCTTAATTTCAGATGAAATAGAAATCTTATGAAATTTAATTAGCTTTGCTGGAGTTAAACTATGCAGAGATTCCTTGTGAAAGCAGGCAATCTGTTTTATTTAAACTGTGTGTTCTTGTCTGTAACAATGAATATAGCTTGAGTGTTTTTTAAGTGATCAGTTGCCACAAAATTATTTAAGCTAGTACAGATGGATTATGCACCTTCCACTTAAAAAATAAAGGTATTGCAGATCAAAGCAGTTTCATTTTTGTTGAAGGGTGTATTTTTTAAATCATGTGTATTATGCCAACAATGACTTAGTTTTACTAAATGAATGGAAGACATGTCCTTTAACATGTGTGTATGTGTGTGTGTATGTGTGTGAACACATGCTGTGATCATTCCATTGCCTTTGGCTTGTTATTTTCTGAACCTTTGCTTCAAGACATTTATTCACATGTTTCTCTTGTAACAGATTAATCAAATTTCCACTTCATAACATACATGTTTATTTTCTCTATTCTCTACTTTGTATAATCTTTTAAAGAAAAATTTTAATAGAAATTCCCTGGAAATAATTTAGAGGATTAATGAATTTGTAGGTCTTGTAGACAGTTCTACATTACAGTCACATTAATATTCTCTCCTTTTATAAGGCTTGACGTAAATCCCATGACACTAGAAGAATTTAGATACTGATTACTTGCGATTGGTTCCTGGTGATTTGCTCTTAATAATTTCCAGTTGAATTTAATGAAAGTATGATTCCTGAAATGCTGCTTCATTAAAATTGCATCTTTTTCCCTTTAAGTGTGGTTTCGGTCATTTCACCCATTTTGCGGTGTGTTTTCCTCCCTCTTAAAAAGTAATGATTGAGAAAGCAGAAACAATTAAGGATCTCATTTTAGTTCTTCCTAGAAGTCACTCCCCGAGTTTCTCTCAGGGAAATGATGCAAGCTATATTTCTTGAAGAGTTTCAGTGTTTTCCAGTTTGATGAGGCTGTTTCAAAACACAGAAACTTTTAAAATTAGAAATAGTGAAGTCTTCTGTTTCCTAAAGTTACGTGAGGAACCTGGCTCATAGGCAGGAGAAGTGAACCTTTAGAATTTTTTCTAAAATCTGCATACATGTGGAAGTTACCCTGTGTGGTATTCAGTCTCAATTTAGCCGTGTTGGTGATTTGCAAATGAATATCTACATGGATCCTTTTTAAAAACCCAAATGCAAATGAGTACAACTGCACTAAAATATATTTGCAAATGAATCCTGTTGCTTTATTCATTTATTGTGTAATTACTGCAATCCTTCCCACCTTGTTTTCAGTATTTCTTAATCATTAAGTCAGCAGCATGACAGCAGTGCCAGCCCTGGCATGATTCTCTTTGACTAAAACCTTGTAAATTAACACAATTAGCACAGCATCATCCTGCTAATTAACTTCCAGTGTCTGGTGCAGTGGTTTTGCAAACAAGGAAGAGGGAGTCAGAAGGGAATCAACATGCCATTCTGTGACCAAACTGTGTGCTATGTGCAGTTTAGCTCAGTGAGTCAAGGCTGGCCATGTCAGAAGCCAGAGTCAGGCAGTGAAGAGCTACAGGGCTTGGGAAAGAAGCGCAGAAAGGAGTAGAGGCTGTCAAAATAGTGCAGGTTAATTCAGAAGGGAGCTGGTATCACAGATGCTTCATTTAGACCAGGCCTCCTTCTTATCAAGGAATCTCTGCCAGAGGGCACGAGACAGTTTGCAAAATTCACTTTGGGTAATACAAGAGATTAAGGCAGCCTGCTTAATATAGCTGTACCATAGGAGCGAGTGTTCGAACCAAGCTGAGATGAGAATGGGATGAGCAAGCACTGGGAAATAATAGAACAGGATTCCAGTTCCCTTCTGTAACTAACGGTGTTTAAGACCTCCAGGGTACGTTAAAAATCTTTTCAGGGCCCTGGTTTCTTGATCTAGGGAATAAGATAATTTCTATAGGCTCTTTAAAATGCAAATAATTCTCTGATGATTCTAATTGCTTAGTCTTCTCTTAAATGAAAGCATGTTTGTTGCATAGTTTGCGATAGTAGCCTGGCTTCAATTAGTAATGTAGTACATGATAGAATTACAATCACTTTTTCTCAGCATGCTCTTCATGGAGAAATGTGCACAGAATCCAAACTCTCTCTTCATCCTCATCTTCTCTTGCACCTATGTTACTTCTTCCTCAGCTCTGTCCATCTCCCTCTGCACCTTGAAGGCAACCCAGGGAGGGAAGCTTTGTAAGAGAAGGAGGGAGAACGCCAGGAGACCCACGGACAAGTGATGCTTCCTGTTGTTTTTTTTTTTTTTTCGGAGACTCAACAACAGAACTGAGAGGCAGAAAGCAGCCAGTTGTAATTCATACCGAGTTGTAGGTTTTGTGCGATGAAAGCGATGGAGCGCTGCCTGGGAGATTGCTTTGCTGCACTCCACGAAGCAGATTTGAAACTGTCGTGGACCACTTTAGATGAGAGTTGGATTATGGAATGACCTGCTATGTCTGTGTCATATTGTTCTGCGCAGGGAGCATTATACTGTGCTAACTAGGTGTTCAGTGCAAATAAGAGAGGTATCCTAGATGTGATCTGTCAGCTGTGTCTCATTTTTATATTGCTTAAAATATAAAACAGAAATGTGGATGTGAAGAGACAGAATAACTAGATATGGTACATATTAAGACTGTCACATGTTAGATATTTAAAATTCTTGCATATTTTATTCTAAGAACCCTGATTCAAGTCTAATTTGACAGGAATGTGTGTGTACATATATAAACATATATATGTGTGTGCGTATATATGTAGAGCAAGTAAGTTTGAGTGTCGAAAGAAATAGACTTGCTTATTACTTAAAAATGGGGGGGAAAAAAGCAGTCTTCCAGAATTTTCTTTAAACTTCACTTTGCTTCATATTCAGGACAGAAATTTAGTCCATGGTAAAGAGCATATATTATATAAATCAGAAAAAGTACTATAAACCATGGAGAACGTCTGTAATATGAATATTATTAGAGAGTTAGGTAACAAAGGAAGTTGTAGGAGAATGCTTTAGAAGTTCTGATGAATATCTAAGTAACTTAACTTTCCCTCCCCCCCCCCAACATCCTTAGGCTTGAAAATGCAGTGGACGCCGGAGCATGCCCAGTGGCCAGAACAGCACTTTGATATCACCTCGACCACGCGGTCTCCTGCCCACAAGGTTGAAGCTTACAGAGGTCATTTGCAGCGCACCTATCAGTACGCCTGGGCAAATGATGACATATCTGCTCTGACTGCATCCAACCTACTGAAGAAGTATGCGGAGAAGTATTCCGGCATTTTGGAGGGTCCTGTGGACCGACCTGTACTCAGCAACTATTCAGATGCACCATCGGGACTAGTGAACGGTCGGAAAACTGAAAGCGAACCCTGGCAGCCTTCCTTGAATTCAGAAGCTGTTTATCCAATGAACTGTGTTCCAGATGTCATCACCGCCAGCAAAGCTGGAGTCAGTTCAGCCCTCCCTCCAGCAGATGTCTCTGCAAGTATAGGGAGCTCTCCTGGGGTGGCCAGCAACCTGGCAGAACCTAGTTATTCAAGTAGTACCTGTGGAAGCCACACCGTACCTAGTCTTCATGCAGGCCTCCCTTCTCAGGAATATGCCCCAGGATACAATGGCTCATATTTACATTCTACTTATAGTAGCCAGTCAGCACCTGCACTTCCTTCACCTCACCCATCTCCTTTGCATAGCTCCGGGCTCCTACAGCCACCGCCACCACCTCCTCCACCACCAGCCCTGGTCCCAGGCTACAATGGGACGTCTAACCTCTCCAGTTACAGCTATCCCTCTGCTAGCTATCCTGCTCAGACTGCCGTGGGGTCCGGGTACAGCCCTGGGGGTGCACCGCCACCTCCTTCTGCATACCTGCCTTCAGGAATTCCTGCTCCCACTCCTCTGCCCCCCACCACCGTTCCCGGCTACAGCTACCAGGGCCACGGTTTGACACCCATTGCACCCTCGGCTCTGACCAACAGTTCGGCAAGTTCTCTCAAAAGGAAAGCTTTCTACATGGCAGGCCAAGGAGATATGGACTCCAGTTATGGAAATTACAGCTATGGCCAACAGAGGTCTTCTACACAGAGTCCTATGTACAGAATGCCCGACAACAGCATTGGAAACACAAATCGGGGGAGTGGCTTTGACAGAAGTGCTGAAACATCATCCTTAGCATTTAAGCCCACAAAGCAACTAATGTCCTCTGAACAGCAAAGGAAATTCAGCAGCCAGTCCAGTAGGGCTCTGACCCCTCCTTCCTACAGTACTGCTAAAAACTCACTGGGCTCCAGATCCAGTGAATCCTTTGGGAAGTACACGTCGCCAGTCATGAGTGAGCATGGGGACGAGCACAGGCAGCTCCTCTCTCACCCGATGCAAGGCCCTGGACTCCGTGCAGCTACCTCATCCAACCACTCTGTGGACGAGCAACTGAAGAATACGGACACGCACCTCATTGACCTGGTTACCAATGAGATCATCACCCAAGGACCTCCAGTAGACTGGAATGACATTGCTGGTCTCGACCTGGTGAAGGCTGTCATTAAGGAGGAGGTTTTATGGCCAGTGTTGAGGTCAGATGCATTCACTGGACTGACGGCCTTACCTCGGAGCATCCTCTTATTTGGACCTCGGGGGACAGGCAAGACGTTATTGGGTAGATGCATAGCCAGTCAGCTGGGGGCCACGTTTTTCAAAATTGCCGGTTCTGGACTAGTCGCCAAGTGGTTAGGCGAAGCAGAGAAAATGATCCATGCCTCTTTTCTCGTGGCCAGGTGTCGCCAGCCCTCGGTGATTTTCGTTAGTGATATTGACATGCTTCTCTCCTCTCAAGTGAGTGAGGAGCACAGTCCAGTCAGTCGGATGAGAACCGAATTTCTGATGCAGCTGGACACTGTGCTAACTTCGGCTGAGGACCAAATCGTAGTAATTTGTGCCACCAGTAAACCAGAAGAAATAGATGAATCTCTTCGGAGGTACTTCATGAAACGACTTTTAATCCCACTTCCTGACAGCACAGCGAGGCACCAGATAATAGTACAACTGCTCTCACAGCACAATTACTGTCTCAATGACAAGGAGTTTGCACTGCTCGTCCAGCGCACAGAAGGCTTTTCTGGACTGGACGTGGCTCATTTGTGTCAGGAAGCAGCCGTGGGCCCCCTCCATGCCATGCCAGCCACAGACCTTTCAGCCATCATGCCCAGCCAGCTGAGGCCTGTTACATATCAAGACTTTGAAAATGCTTTCTGCAAGATTCAGCCTAGCATATCTCAAAAAGAGCTCGATATGTATGTTGAGTGGAACAAAATGTTTGGTTGCAGTCAGTGATAACTCCTTTAACAAACAAACAAAAAATGTGATGAATGTTTGGCACACACACATAAAACCTACTACATAGGGAATAGAGCCCCTTTCCAGTAGTGCTTATATTGCAAAGGGTATGGTGGGAAGATGACGAGTAAGTTGCATCTTTAGCGTCAGGGTAGATTTGGAGGAAATGTGCATCACGTAAGAGCTTCTGATTTGAAAAAGCCCCAGATGGCAGAAAGTCTGTGCGGATGCTCTGTTGGTTTCCAGCTAGACAACACTCGCCAAGGAGCAAGGTGCAAGTGTGTTGATTTCAGAAGGACATGAGCCTCGTGTGTTGATTCCATTCTGCTGTTCTTGAGATTTAGTTGCTGTCAAGTGCCTGGAGTGGTGCTTTCTTTTTTGTTTGCCTCACAATTACATTGGTGGCATGTGCTAATATAAAGAGCTTTAACTTCAAACATTATCGGACTCAAGAGATGAACGGTTGTGTTATGACAGAAAACCAGATTTTTGCCATTTTAAGAGCAACAGTATTCCTCAATCCTGTCTGTTCTGCAGTATTAAGCTAAGAACAGGTAACACAGGGTAACGGTGATCTGGACCTTAATTTCTGCAGTTCATTTCTTTTGATGTTCTTGTCTGCAAAAACTCAGGAAAGTGATTGTGATTTGTACAGTACCTCAAAGGAATGTGTTGAAAGCACTATGTACTGCTGAGAGGAATGGGATAGGCTTCGGTGTTACTTTATATTAAAATGTATGTTTACCTCAACAATTGGAAACTAACAAGGAAGATTACTTTGAATGTATCCAGAGAAATACTGAAGTGTGATACAACTGAATATTTACAACTATAAGTAGAAATGGAGGGATTGGGGAAAACAAAATGTCTTGTATGAAGGATGGGGAATTAACCAGAGCAGAATAATTCTTCATGTCAATAACTGCGAGAGTTCTTAGTACATTGCTCCTTGATCATTCAAAGATGTTCTTAAAAGGTACACTGGTTAATGGAAAGCTACTTATTCAGTTTGTGTTAGTGTCTAGAACAGTCAGCCACCAGGCCTCTTGAGGACCCTGAAAGTCACAGTACCTGGAAATCAGAACTGCCCTCGACTGCAGAAGCAGCAATGGCGGAGGGGGTGGTTTGCAAGTTCTCTCTTAAAACTGCTGGGAACGGTGTCATTCTATTCACTAATCTAGCTTCTGAGCTTGCCATGCTGCATGAGAGAATGCAGAGGATAGCAACCAAAACAAAGAAAGAAAGAAAGAAAAGTGAAAGGAAAAAAAAAAAAAGCAACAACCAGTCAACTGCTATATATCCACAAAGAACTCCATCCGCTCCCCTCTGTGGCTCCACTCTTGTCAGTGCAGTTTTACTTCTCATTTTGAATCGCAGTGCTCCTGTGTTTATTTCTACCTCAGTTTTGTTACATTTCTCTCTGAGCGTAAGGTAAAGTAGGGAATTGGAAGTGGACACACACACACACCACGATGTAGCTTGCCAAATACGTTGCTTGGTTTTCTTCCATCTTTCCATTTCCCTGTTAAGTTTAGTTTCCAAAAGAAACTGCCTTTATGCCTGCTTCCACCACAACTCTCCACACTCCTCCTATGGCATTTATGGCATTTTTCTTAGTTTCTTCTTCTTCTCTTGTTCCCCACCCAGTTGTTCTTTCTTTCTGTTAATGCTTTCTGTGCAACTTCTCACTGACAGCTGGCTAGTGTTTGGCATTGCTTCTGAACAGCCATGGTGCGAGCTGGAGCTTCCCAAAGTTACTGGCCATGCAGAACCAGAACAGCCTGGCCTTTTGAATGTATGTCCTCTTTTTTTCCCCTTCTGCTCCCTTTTTTTTTTTTAATTTAGAGATGCAGTAACAAAACTGTGGCAAAGCACTGGCATTTTATGTATTCAATAAGTAATGTACATTTTTTTTCAAAGATTCAAATAAATGCAATGAGAAGCCCCAAGAAAGGTCTTTTTGTTATTTTTTTTTCCTTTGAAAATTTTTACTGCTCTTATCCACAATGTCAAACTCTGAAATGCTTCACAGGCAAAGCTAGGGATGGATTTTGATCTTTCTAAAATTGTGTGACACATGATCTAATGATCACAATTTTATAGTTCACATTGCTACAAACTTAGCAAATGAACCAGTTTAGTTTACTATGAAAGTCCATCGATTAAAGCTGTACTTATTTATAAACTACTGCCTATTGGACAAGTTATGCCTTTCATTAAAAATACCAAATATATATATATATATATATGTCTTCTAATAATGTCCTCTGCTTTTCACAAGTGAGTCAACACTGCAATCATATTCTAGGTCTTCCCTGTGCAACCCTTGTCAAAAAGAAATTCTCATATCCACATTAACTTGTAGTCTACATTGATGTCACGGACAAGTTTACTTTTGCACAGTGCTGACCTATTTTCTGTCTTTAAGACATTACATTTCATTTCCACCAATATGCTGTGTTCACTTAAAAGCATCTGGCAAGTTTTTACAAACTCTGTCTTATTTAGACAACTTTAGCAAATCCAATATTGGTCCACTCTTTGTATGTGGCTACGAAGACTTAATACCAAATAATTGACTGCACTATTATGTTTTACACTATTTTAGTAAATGCAGATGAAGTCATGCACATTGGCTTTTAGTTTTAGGTGACTTAAAAATTCATCTGAGATATAAATGGTCAAAAGTCTATTTAGCAGAAGCTGAAATCGTGTGTGATTTTTTTTTTCCCCTTTGCCTCACAAATTGTAGAATTTGATCCCTTAGGAAATTGGGCATGTTGAAGAAATGAAGATGTGTTGGAGGAGATAAGGCTGACCTTTCAGTAGAGCATGCTCTCCTATGATTCTTTGATTCTGCATGGCAGCATCTGGAGCTCGTCAGTAGACCAGTCTAATAATGAGCTCTTTTCTGACCATCCATTTTAGAGCTGGGGGTAGGGGTGAGGGTACTACATCCTCAGATGTGGATGTGTACCATGAGTGACTGTCCAGCTGAGTAACCGTGCCTGACACCCATGGCCTCTTTTTGACTGCTAAAAATTTGGAGAAGGCTGCTAAGGAAGGTAAGATAATGAGCCATTCCAAATCTTTTGCTGTCTGGCCAGGGGATTGAGCCAGGCCACCTCACAGCCCCTAATTCCCTTCTTTGCACTGCAATAACATTTCTGACAGGGATGGAAAGGAAGTGAGGGAAACTGCTTCAGTAGAAGGATCAATAGAAATTCAAGAGGTAATTCATAATGACCTTCTATGTGACACAAATGGAAATACTCCACACTTCTGGCATGCTTCTCTCCAAAATATTTACACCATTAGTGACAATATGGAAAACTTTGCTGACTGAGCTGATCAATGGAATGTGAAGGCAGTATACTTTAAGGCTATTTACTTTCACACAGAATGTTTATCTATTAGTCAGTTTGTATTCTACTCAAATGCAGAAAGACGGGTATAATGTTTTCTTGTGCATTTGAAACCTATCAAGGAGAAAATAAACCATTCCACTAAAATACATAGGCCAAACACCATCTGGCCAAGTGATAAAAGCTATCCAGAGGCTATGCTATGTAAAATAGCGAGGTCAATTTACATGGATTGCATAGTACTTGGCTATGCAGTTTTCAAAAGAACACATCCCCCCAAAAAATCCAAATTAATTCTTACAATAGATGTTAGTAGATTTCAATATATTTGTGGGTTGGAAAGTAGGTGTTAGAGATATTTACAATTTCTCGGAAAATGCATCCAACTCGAAGCAGAAAGACACTTCTGAAAACACATTCTCATATTTCTTAGCCGAAATTGGGTATGGTCATCATTGAATGCAGAGTTTGCAAAGTGAAAGGGACACTGTTTGTTAAACTATCGAGGCCACTAAAGTAAAAATCTAATATATATACATATATATATATATCTTATAAATATAATTAGTATGTGTGTATGTGCGTGCGTGCTGTTTTTACTACCACCTATTTGGACTTTAAACATCTATTTTTCATCATTCAGAAGCAATTGGTTCCATCTCTTCTTCATATGTTCAGAGGTACACTTAAAGCATTTAAACATATCTTCTTCTTTTGGAAAGTAAAGGCTTCAGTTGTTGAAACACCTGCTGATTTTTATATGAAGCACATTAGCAAACACGGAGCTATTAGTATTTCATAATTCACAACCAGCTATATTTGTGACTTACCAACACATGAACTAGCTAAAGCTCACACTCTGCTAAGACCTTTGGTTGACATTCGATTTTGAAACTGCCAGATACATTTGTGTGAACCAGGGATACTGCATCTTTAATGAACAAGTCTCTCCTCTTTCCCCTGTTTTTAAATACAACACAAGCAGTAGAGCACTAGGCACTGCAATTGTCAAAGACAATTAGACTGAAAGCAAGGAAATTTCACCTCCCTGTCTCAGTGATATGTAGAATGTCGGCAGCATGGG